GTGTTTATAAAAAACAGCTGATTTTGTTTTGTGTTCAAATATTACCTTTGGCTTTGGCAAAAACAGCAATACAGTGGGTTACTGATTATAAAATGAAGAAGTGGACCTTAACTATGGTACTCAGATTGAAGCTTATTATTTTTAAAGTGAGTTTTGTGATTTTCATTGCCCAGATTAAAGATATTCAATAAACATTTAGTTTTATACCTACTATAATCAAATCCATACATAGTGATTGGAATTACAAACATTTCTGTGAAATAGCATTATACCAGAATAATGAAGTCTCACTGGACTGGAGTATATATGTTTCCAAAGATCAGTAAGTACCTATATCAATTATTATTATTTTTATTAATAAGTATCAGTAATAAATACATCTCAAAGAATAACAAGGTTGTAACTGTACTTTTTGGAAAAAATGAGATTGGTAGAATATATTATTTAATTTGTTTTTGTGACCAATATGTTCATCTGTTAATTATCAATGTTGTGTTATCGAAGCACTAAAGTTATTCACATGGTTCTATCTGCATGTACATAGAACTTATACAGTTTTTAGCAAGTGTCATTATAGTAGTCAGATCTTCGTTATTCCCTAATCCCTAGCAAATGTAGTCTCCATCCTCCACAAGTATATTAAGATTAAAGGCCAGGTTTTTACCTCTGAATAAAGTTGAAAGTAACTACTTGCTGATTAGACTATAGATTATACTTACACCTAACTTTACTCAGAGGTTAAAAAATCTGCCATTAAAAGAACAGTGAGTTTTAGAGCATAAACCTTATTAAATATAATGGGTGTTTTTTTATTAAACTTTTTGTTTTTAAACAGTTTTGGTTGAAAATTATAAAAAAAAATGATATAGGATACCTGGAAAGATTTATAATATAAAACAACATTTAAAAATTCTGAATTAACAAAAGTATGTATTTTCTGTTCCAAGCGTTGTCTCTGTTACCTAAACTAAATACTAGAAATAAAGTTTTAACTGGCAGTTACTACTATGCTCTATCAAATATTCTAAAAAATGCTGCAATGCTAGATGAAATCTTTAATTAGGCATCAAATTTGTAAAATGTTAGAGATAGTATGTAGGTATATAGGGAAAATAAAAAATATAATTATAATGAAGAGTAAGAACTTTTAAATTTTAATATAACTAGAACAAAATATTCAGTAATTAAAAATTTTGATAGGAATTAAAAATTATGCTCGAGTATAAATGTTGTGCTTGTTTTTAAGTGGTTTCGATTTACTTTAGGTATGTTCCAACAATGCTCAGAAATGAGTTACTGACATCAGGATTCTGCACAGTAGTTTATCGATACTGCAAAATTGTGGTTTGTTTCTGATCATTGTTGGAACAGACCTTTTATTCAATACATAATTGAACAAGTTAAATGTGTATTTGGATTTTTTTTTTAATTTTACAAATCTCAAGCTTGAATATGGATTTTCAAATTATGCACTTTTTGTAGTTTTTAATAATGCTTATTAGGATCGAATCCCACCGTTAGCCGGGATTTTTTTATTTAATTTAATTATTTAAAATTAATTGATGCCTTGGTAGGATTCCCCACTCGACCATTCACTGTTGGGTTCTAATTAACAGTGCTGTTCCTAAAGTGGCGCAAGGAAACAGTAACAAGGCCTGTCTGTAGGGGTGTAGGAGTATTAAAGTAATAATACTTCTACACTATGGAGTATTAGACTACTAGTACAATCCATAACCTACATAGAACACTAGGCTAATGACCTTAGATGTTGAAGCCGTACAAAAAAAAATAATAATGCTTATTTTTTTTTAGTTTCTTGTTCATTTAATAAAGATGCTTTTTTGTATATGGGGTGATAATTTTTAAGCAGAGGCGTGCAGCACCCACAAGATCACTGCCAGAATTAAAGCAAATGGGTAATCTAGAAATATGGAGTAGGTTCCCTGCACGTAAGATTTTCAAGAACTTGTAAATACAATGTTTTAATGAATTATTGCCGTTATCAAAGTTAAAGGTGATGAAACACTCATGAAAATTTGTAAATATTCAACCCTTTCAGTGTATTTGTCCCTCCAGAGGGACACTGTCTTAATTAACCCTGAAGTATACATCTGTTAATTTTGGTAGAAATTTTTCTTTTTGGTTTATTTACTTTATTTGCATTACTTTTAAGGATTAATATTATAAAAAAATTATTTTCATAGTAAATTTTTGTTTTTGTAATGTCCCTGTCTTGGAGTAATAAAAAATACTATGAAAAAATTTTAATTTACTTAAAATAAACAAAGAAAACATACAATCTAGGTACTACAATGGTATTTTTTTTAATGAAAGTGGAAGTGAAAGTGTTAAAAAAATAACAGTCATTTATCAGATTTATGTATGATTTTTTGTTCTTGTAGTGACAGTCACTATAAATTTGAGAAGTGTGCTAATTGAAACGGGACAGGGCTCATATAGTTTTATTTAAAAAGTAAACCTTGTCATTAATTAAATATAAATGATTATTATATTACATTATTGAAATATATAATGTAAAACAAATTGTTGTAATGTTTTTCTGAAATCGGAAGTGTTGTCAGGTTTGTTACTGTCTGCTGCTAACTGTGATGTGTACAAGCGAACATAATAAACCTACTTATTGAGTACATTAATATGAAAAACTCATATTAAATCTGGAAACTATACATTTGAAATTTTCCTACTTATTTTTTCATTACTGCTATTATCTAATAGAACAATTCCTATGCTTTTATTTAATATTTAATTTTCCACAAATAAATATAAAAAAAAATAATTAGTAAAATTATAAAATGAGTTCCAATTAAATAATGAACTATATTATTAATTTAAATTGTTAATATAAGAAATGAATAAATTAAGTAAGTAAAAGTGTAATAATGGGAAATGTGTAAATTGTATTTATTTCTAATTTTAAATAATTTTGTGTGTATTGTTAATTTTCTTTCTAATGTAAAATTAATAAATTAATAATTTTAACAAAAATTTAATCGAATACAATAAGAAGAACACTGCTGTCATAATGATTACTTCGAATTTCAAATACATAGTATCTATAACTTATCAATAAATAAATATTAAGTTGTTAGATATAAAAAAATATTTCCTATTAACACTTCACCCCCAGTGGATAACTTCGGTAAGTGTATCAGCAATACTTTCCACATTCTTGTCTCCTTTGAGAAGTAGTCCCATCATAAGTAATAAAAGCAGGAACAGCATTTTTTAGATAGTTTTTTTTTTATATTTGCGCTGCACATTAAATGATGGTAATCTTATAATTGAAGGGTCTGGAAATGCACCATTCTTGTTCTGGCTAGTTCTGATAGTTGGAATCGTAACATATAGTTGCAAAGTTATATTTAATTATTTGAAATAACTTTTACTTTTTATCATGTATTTACCAATTTTTACATCGATTAAAAATTAAAAAAAATCTGTAGATTTTCAAGTAATACGATCGTTATTTTTAACTTCAAATTTGTGTCAAATTCTAGACTTCAGAGTGGTGTGAATATGCGGATTTCTAGACTCCTCAACTACAAGATAACCTTAAATAATTATTAGGTACATCAGAAAAAACATTGTTTAAATTATTAACCAGTGTATGTACAAATTATTCAATACACAAATTACCAACATCTACGACCCCGAACTACATTTATTTACTTAAAGGGATTATTAACTCCTATAAAAATACGAAAAATACAGAATTGAAAAATCTTAAATATTTCTTACAGCTCAAATTTTTATTAATTTAAAATCAGTACTTCTATAAAAACCTAGTAAATACATTTAAAGAACTGGAACAAAACACATTTGGGGATGATTATTATTAAACAAATGTATATTTGAACACTTAAAAATAAAAAGGCTACAAGTAAAATAAATTTATCATAGTATCTATTTGATTCTTATAACCAGATACAACTTTCTAGCATTATAATCAGGCTAAAAGGAATACGTCAAAGATTTTATTTATTCGCAGGGTCAGAAAAATATCAAAAGGAATAGGTACCTTGTGTATATGAAATTTATATCATGAACACATTATAATAGGGTCCAAGTCATAACATTATTAGTACCAAGGAGACAGGATAAATAATACGAAATATTTATATAGTAAAACTTTATACTAATAATTATTTTTATTACAGAAAAGACAAAGTTGAATAACCTATTTACATAACCTACAATCATTTAAAACGTAGACATTAAACATATTTACTTGAAAAATAACGTTTCCTAGTAGATTTCTTAGCACTTTTTCACGGATAACATAATTTGCATTAAAATGTTTTTCACAAATGGAACTTTTGGGTTTAATGCTTATTTTCATACCACCAATAATTTGCACCATATTCTGTATAACTGTTTTTTGGCATTATAAAACTGCTATTAATATTTTGAAGACTCTCTCCCATAATCACAATTAAAAACAGCACAACGATCCACCATGATTTATATATTTTAAGATTTTAAAAAATATTTATCTGTCAACACTTTTTAAATTGCAGCTCCTACTTTTATCTTTTATTTACTTTCTCGCCGGATAGATACTAGCGAACCTAGCGGATTTTGGCTAGGAAGTACGATCGGTTTTATCGCCGTTTTCATTTGTTTTTAAATAGGAGTTCATGCACCTTATAGTCCACCGTGCCTTCGTCATAAAGCACGCGCCTGCGTTTCGCTAAATCTGTTACTTTTAGTCAGTTGTTGCTAGACGCGTGCATATAATTAGAGGTTATTGTTTACTAGTGACTTTGACGTGCAATTATTGACATAATCGTGAGTAATTACAACATATTAATTTTTTTTTAGTTATTTAGTTTGTATATATTATGTGTGTATAATATAATATTACTAAAAAATATTTTTGTAACAGAACTTTTGATATAAACGTACTTGGTCGTTTAAACGAACATGGTGACTAAGCGGATGTAAATTTTAGGTAAATATCTGGTGATAAAATTTCAACAATGACATCAAGAAGAGCATTAACCGAAGCTGAACTTCTCGATATGATTGGAAATATGTCTGATATTGAAGCATTGAGTGACGAAGAAGAATATGAGGAAACGAGGAACGAAGGTAACTGATAATAATACATTGAAAGGGTAATTTTATAAATATTTTTTAGGTTTAGATTCAGATGAAGAGTTACAGGATGAGGATAAAGAGCGTAAAAGTGAACAAAATGCTAAAGAATGCGAGAGTGAGGGAAACAATGAATCTCAAGAAATTAGAGAAGAATTCGTAGAAGATAAAGAGCAAAAAAATCCAGAGCAACTTACCAACATAAAAGTTCAAAAATCTATGTCCAAAAAAGATATCCAAAAGTTCTGTGAGAATAACAATCTGACTTATAAAGACAATATTGGTTGGAGACAAAATGTGACTTACAAAACGCCCCCGTTACGTTGGCATCAAAAGAAAGTGTCAGAAACAGTGGAGGTAGAATCTCCTGTAACATATTTCAGTAAATATTTCACTGAAGATCTTTACCATTCCATTGCTGATATGACTAATTTGTACGTTGTCCAAAACAATGTTAATCATTTTACTCCTACAAATGTATCAGAAATAAAGAAATTAGTAGGTATCCACGTATTGATGGGAAATTTACATTATCCCAGAACTAGATTCTATTGGGATTCGAAACTTGGGCTACCATGCATTCGCGAAAATATGAACATAAATAGATTTTTTAAACTTAGACAGAACCTACATTTCGTAAACAACCTGGAAAAAAACAATGAAAACAAAGACCGTTTTTGGAAAATAGGACCATTGGTGGATAGTATCCGATCTAGGTGTCTTGAGCTAGATCTTGAATCCGATCTGTGTATAGACGAACAGATTGTGCCCTTCAAAGGGCAGCTAAACGTGAAACAATATTGTAAGGGAAAGCCAAGTCCTTGGGGAATAAAAATATTTGCTCTGTGTGGCAAGAGTGGCCTGCTTTACGATTTTTTAATCTATCAAGGAGCAACAACAGAACTAAACCAAGAATATTGTTCTACTTTGGGTTTAGGAGCTTCTACAGTTATCAAATTGTGTGAACGTATATTAGAACCTTACATAAAACTTTATTTTGATAATTATTTCTCAAATTATAATTTGTTACAATTTCTTCGAGAAAAGCGAATATATGCTGCATGTACAGCAAGAGCAAACCGATTTCCTAGAATTCCTTTTACTTCCGACAGAGAAATGGCAAAAAACCTAGGGGCACTTCAGAAGAAATAAGTTTGGATGGAGAAGTAATACTAACAAAATGGTATGACAATAAACCTGTAACAATGGCCTCCAATTTTGTAAGTATTGGTAATTCTGATCAGTGCAAAAGATGGGACAAATCTGCTAAAAAGTTTGTTTACATCCCTCGTCCTGAAGTAGTTCAATTATATAATAGTTGCATGGGAGGGGTTGACAAACTTGACTTCCTAGTAAGTATTTATCGCACTTTTATAAGAAGCAGGAAATGGACCCTTAGGATGTTCACCCACGCAATCGACTTAGCTTGCACAAATAGCTGGCTAGAATACAAAAGTAAATGTACTACCCTAGAAATTCCTAAAAAAAAATTATGGATCTCATATCATTTAGAATGTATATTGCTGAATTCCTTATACATGCTGGAAACACAAGCAAAAAAAGAGTGGGACGATCATCAGGTAGTTTCAGTCCTAGTGAACCCTCTACACCACCAACAAATAAGAAATCAAAAATGGAAGTAAGACCCATAAATGAAATTCGTTTCGACAATGTTGATCATTTGCCAATTTTTGACGAAACCAAAGAAGGAGCAAGATGTAAAAATAACAAATGTTCTAAAAAAACTCATTTTATATGCAAAACATGCAATGTTCACTTATGTATCACTCGAGATCGAAATTGTTACAAAGATTTTCATAGCAAATAAAGATTTTTAATCTATTTTCTTGTCCTTTTTTAACCTTTGAGTCACCATGTTCGTTATAACGAACAAGTATTTTTTTTTCTAAAATACGGGTGGGGGAACTTTAAAAATATTCTTAAAAATCTTTAAAAAAATATACTATTTAATTCCTAAAGTTTCAGAATTTTATCTTTAATAATAAAAACTCGTGACTGAAAGGGCTAATGCAGCAATGAAATGTATCGATGCCTATAACGACTCTCCCAATCCTAGAAAGTGTAGGATTTGGAGTGGCTTTAAGTTAGGTAAATATCCCTCTTCTATTTAACACGTTGATGGACAGTGACGCCGACCGGCGTCTTCGCTTACGTGTCAAATATGGCAGAACGCCATCCGGCGTTTAAACTAAGAGGGAAAGCCCACTCACGCGACATGTCGCGCGCGACCTGCCGCATGCGATTTTTTAGGTGCGATTTTTAACAGACGACAAGCAGTGACACAGACGTTCAGTATCAAAATAGAGGTGGAAGAAGTAGTAACGGTGTTGTTTTATTTTGTTCGTCGGCGGAAAAAATTGAAACGACGTAGGTACTGGGTTCATCCATTATTTATAGACCCTTATGTAAAAGGCGCATTTAATTTATTTCACAAGGATTTACGTCAACACGAAGAGTTCTTCAAATATTTCAGAATGAGAGTAGTGTCATTTGACGAACTGCTAGCGCAGATTCCTGAACAAATATTTTTTTCGCAATTTTATTTTAATTAACTGTTCGATATTTGAGGTCGGTCTTGAATATCGGATATAAATTTATCTATATCAATACAACTGTCGGACATTTTTTCACTGGAACTGTCGAAAAGTTAACAGGAAACTCCAACTCTCAACTGGCGTTTCGCACGCGACTTGACGTTTGTATGAGTGATGCTCCATATGAATCCATGATAAAGCTGGCAGCGTGCGGCAGGAAAATCGCGGGGTTGTCATTTTAAATTTTCAGCCGCGTGCGACCACACGACAGAACCGCGTTAATGGGCTTTGAGTCATTTAAGAACATCTAAAGTATTGCCGCGCGCGATGCCTCGCGATCAGTCGCGCGCGACGACGCATGAGTGGGCTTTCCGTCTAATATCGTTGATAAACGGAGGAACTTCGTCCCAATTCCCGTATAAAATGCTAAGGGCGCATGGTTTTTGCTACATTTGAGACCTATTACATTATAATACCGCTGTTTTGTTAAATGTGCCGTCCTCCCCCATTCTAAAGAAACTTGCCAAATTGCACTATACGCCGTTAGAAGTTCTGCAGTCCATATAAATCAAATTAGTTATAATTTGACTGTCGAACTTATCCTGTATTTCTTTTTGTAATGTCGGCAAGGAGATGGGAGCAAATATTACGGATTTTGTGTGGTTCAGCGGCAAATTTAAAAGGAAAGAAAAAGTCCAAACACTCATTTATTTGTTTAGATCTCAATTCCAAGCTGCTTATGTACCTACTAAAAAATTATCTTTGGATGAATCGTTACTACATTTACGAGGCAGACTTGGATTTAGAGTTTTCACCAAAAACTGAAAAGATAAATACAGAATAAAGTATTATCAGTTAGCGACATCTGATGGGATTATTATAATAGTGTTGCATTGTCCGAAAAAATTAAAGCGTAGTAAACATTTTTGGGTGCGCAAGAAGAACGTATATGTATCTAAATGGAAAGGCAAACGCGAACTTTTGATGCTTACACCGAGAAATCATCCTGGTATTATTACAGTATGAAATAAATATGGTCAATAAAAACTTAAACCCAGAGAAGTAGCTTCTTACAACAATCATATGTCGGGTGTTGCTTGAGGAGACCAGATGACTGCAACTCATAACGCAACTAGGAAAATGATTAGATGGGATAAAAAAATTATCTAATACCTTCTGTATTTGACTATGTGGAACTCTTTTCACTTATATAGAAAATATTGCAAAGGCGGCTCACGAAAATATCGATTTTTGGAATTTAGAGACGACCTCATTAGATCTTTAACTAAGTTACCGCAAGATGTAGATACGTTTGTAAAAAGATGCATCATGTCCGCCATAGCCATCCTAAGGAAAGACCCAGACTCCAGGCCCAAGAGGGACACTAGCCCGAAAAAAAATCAACAAAAAAATCTTGTTTTTCTAAAATACAGGATGTGTTAAAAACAGGAAATCAGGCGTGAAACAAGCTTAAGGTGTAAAGGTCGTCCTGGAAAACCTCCTCCATGCGCAATATGCTCTAAGGAATGGCATTCCCAAAGACAATAAAATTTTTATAAGTTCTTACATTAAATTTTTCTGTGTTATAGGTTTTGTTTAAAATTAATTTTCCAGTCGTGAATAAGTTTTGAAATAAAGTTAGAAAAGTTGTATCGAAAAACATCCTCTAATATGTTCACATTTTTTAGAAAAAGGGCGTAACCTAGGACAAATGTTTTTATTAGTTAGTTATATTCGTGTTTTGTATTTGTGTTTTTTACCCTTTGTTTAAGCTCCTAGTTGAGAATAAAACAATTTTTTTGATAGATCTTTGATGCTTTATTCAGTGGCGTAGCCAGAAAGGGAGAGAGTGTTCCATATTTTGACATATTGTTATTATATTTGCCAATAAATTGAATAAAAAAGTATTTTAGAGGGTCATAAAAATATTTGCCTCAACATTTTAGGGATTCGGAGGGGGTAGCTTTTTCCCCTCTGGCTACGCCCCTGATTTATATAATATTTTCAACAAGACATCTATTAGCGTCACAGCAATTTTCCCTTTTCAAATGTGGCAGGACGTCTTTTGATGTCAACTTTCAAACTCCTGTAAATCGATTTTTTTTTTAAATCCTGAGTGGTTTGCTATACTTTATAAGACAATCCAAGCCGTAATTTGTTCAAAAGTTCGAGTGTCATTTTTGGCACCGATGACTTTTTTCTACTGTTCATCAACGTGTTAATATGCCCTTGCATTCTGGAGCGCTACATATACATTCAGAATTCGAATGGACATTTCGTCTTCCTCCTCACAGAATCTGCAGTCACTATCTTTTACTACTCTTAGTTTACTGTGTCCTTTGAGTCTGGAATTCCCGGTAAGGATCCCTGTAACAATGCTTAGCCTGTTCTTGCTCAAGCAGATACAGACTTCCGATCTTTTCTGGTTATATTCATTCAGAAGTATCTTAGCCTATCTTATTCCCAAGAGATTGTTCCAATTATCGGTTCTTCTTTTTTAATGTCTCGCAATATTTTTTTATTGCTGACACCGCAGAACGGCTCAGGTTCCACAAAGGATATT